GGACACCCGGAACACCAGGGGGACACCTGGGGATTTTGGGGCACCGGGGGGATTTTGGGGACACCGGGGGGATTTGGGGACACCGGGGGGATTTTGGGGACACCGGGGGGATTTTGGGGACACCGGGGGGATTTTGGGGGACACCGGGGGGACACCCCAACCCCACGCCCACCCCCTCCCCCAGGGCTGCCCCCCGACGGCGACAGCGACGACGACGACGACACCGAGGCCGGAGGCCGGACACGGAGACTGCCCCCGGCCCACGGCGTGGCCTGAGAGTGACCGCTGAGTGACCACTGAGTGACCACTGAGTGACCCTGAGTGACCACTGACCGCTGAGTGACCGCTGAGTGACCACTGAGTGACCACTGACCGCTGAGTGACCGCTGAGTGACCACTGAGTGACCGCTGAGTGACCATTGAGTGACCCTGAGTGACCCTGAGTGACCATTGAGTGACCACTGAGTGACCACTGAGTGACCTTGAGTGACCACTGAGTGACCGCTGAGTGACCGCTGAGTGACCACTGAGTGACCACTGAGTGACCACTGACCACTGAGTGACCGCTGAGTGACCGCTGAGTGACCGCTGAGTGACCGCTGAGTGATCACTGACCGCTGAGTGACCACTGCGAGTGACCACCTGGGAGTGACCACCTGCTGGCCTGAGAGTGACCACTGACCGCTGGGAGTGACCACACGGTGGCCGGAGTGACCGCTGACTGCTGGGAGTGACCAGTGACCACCCGAGAGTGACCACTGACCGCTGGGAGTGACCACAGGCTGGCTGGAGTGACCGCTGACCAGTGGGAGTGGCCGCTGACCGCTGGGAGTGACCATAGGCTGGTGTGGAAGTGACCAAGTGACCACTGGGAGTGACCAGGACAGTGGTCACTCACTCAGAGTGGACACTGAGCACCCGTGGTGGTCTGGGAGTGACCAACTGACCAGTGGGAGTGACCAGAGCTGTGGTCACTCATGGAGAGTGGACACTGAGCACCCGTGGTGGCCTGGGAGTGACCAACTGACCATTGGGAGTGACCAGAGCTGTGGTCACTCATGGAGAGTGACCGAGTGACCAGAGCTGTGGTCACTCACTCAGAGTGGACACTGACCACATGAGAGTGACCAGGGCAGTGGTCACTCATGGAGAGTGACCGAGTGACCACTGGGAGTGACCAGAGCTGTGGTCACTCATGGAGAGTGACCGAGTGACCACTGGGAGTGACCAGGGCAGTGGTCACTCACTCAGAGTGGACACTGACCACCCCAGGGGTCACCTGCTCCGTTTGGGGGTCACTGACCCCAAATTTTGGAACTTTGCACCCAAATTTTGGGGTCCCAACCTCGAATTTTGGGCTCCCAAACCCAAATTTTTGGATTCTGGACCCAAATTTTGGGACCCCAGCCCCGAATTTTGGGGTCTCGGCCCCAAATTTGGGATCCCAGCCCCGAATTTTTGGATCCCGACCCCTCCCAAATTTTGGGGTCCCAACCTCAAATTTGGGATCCCAAACCCAAATTTTGCGATCCCAAATCCGAATTTTGGGGTCCCAACCCCCGATTTTGGGGTTTCAGCCCAAAATTTGGGACCCCAGCCCCAAATTTAGGATCCCACCCCAATTTTGGGCTCTCTTCCCCCATTTTTGGGGTCTCAGCCCCAAATTTTGGGATCCCAGCCCCAAATTTTGAGATTCTCACCCCATTTTTTGGACCCCAGCCCCAATTTTGGGACCCCAGCCCCAAATTTTGAGATTCCCACCCAAATTTTGGGACCCCACCCCCAAATTTTGGGACCCCAGCCCCAAATTTCGGGATCCCGACCCCAAATTTGGGGTTTTTCCCCCCGAAATAAATCCCGGACCCCCCAAAATTTCGGTCTCGGCGTCTCCGTCCGCCCCTCCCCCACCCCCCTCCCCCCGTTTCCTGCCGCGGCTTCCTGGGGTGGGGGAGGGGCCCCGCGGATTTTGGGGCGCTCGGGGCGGCGGCGGAGCAGGTTCGGGATTTTTGGGGAGATTTTGGGGATTTTTGGGGGATTTTGGGCTGTTTTGGGGGATTTTGGGGTTTTTTGGGGGGTGGGGGAGGGGCCCCGCGGATTTTGGGGCGCTCGGGGCGGCGGCGGAGCAGGTTTGGGATTTTTGGGG